GACACAATATGCAAATAGAACATACTTCAAAGTGTTCTAACCAGTGAATAGATCACAGTGTGTCTACTTGGTGAGCAAGAAGACTGGAGGGGGGAATAGGGGTAATCTGAGGCTTGATCAAGAGTTAGGCAACTTCCCATGATTAGATTTGGCTGAAACTTGGTAGATCTATTACAGCAATTAATTGGATATATACTATGCACTCATGCCGGGCATAGGTGGTCTGTACCTGGCCTGCGTACGTCTTTTGTATTTCATGAGGCAGTATTTGCCTGTTTTCAATAGATTAGAAATTTATTAGTGACATGTAACTAACATTTATCCTTCTGTCGCCGGCCCTCGCTTCTCTTGTGCTCCTTGCGCCAAACGCATGACCACGCACTAATTGTCTCTTTGCCGACTATCGCCCCTCTCTTCTCAATGCTCACCCACCACTTTGACATTTGACTGCTTGCCTCGCGTGGCGCCACTTCGATGGCTGCGGCATCTCCTTGCATGCCCTCCGCCTTTGGTCCCCGGATGAACGACAACGGTATCAATCCCGTCTCGCTCCTGACTTGTGCTGCGCACGATCGTTCGCATGCCACCCCACACTCGCCACGTATTCATTTCGACCTTGCTACTGGGTGTTATACCTGTTGACTTCTTAGCTTTAGGCAATGTACCAGTCTATGCGATAAAGCCTTAGACTATAGGTAATCCCACAAGTGTAGAGAGGTGCAAGCAGATGTATAGCAAGATGATGGAGAGTCTGGCTCTCCAGAGACCACTCCTTAAATACATGTGAGAGGCATAGCAGAATACAAACATATACACACAACAAGTCATTCGGAAAGGTCCATGTCTGACTCAGACAGGCCTGAGTCAGACTCGCACATAGCCTCCCCATAAGAGCACAAAGGAGAAGACAGGCGCACAGCCAAACGACAAGCAAGGGAAAGATAAGCACAATCAGGAAGATAGTCCGTAACAGGCTCGGACACAGTAACAGTAACATGTATGAGGTGGGTCATGCGATCAGCATTGCCCACTGTAGGAAACCCGAGCTCGAAGAACTCAGCTAGGGCGTCTGTGGGAGTCATATCCCAACAATACCAGGATTGCCAATCACGCAGACACTAGGGCGCAACGAGCGTTGGCATGTGTTCTGATGCAGGTGGGGGTTCACCTGAGGTCCACGCTGGGTGGCGCTCCCACTCGATATTTTCATGCGCACCGCATAAATCTTTCTATCCAATTGTATTCTCCACATATACTCACAAGAATGTAAAAATATTTTCTGCTTTTCGCTTCCTCACAGGTTGGGTTATCAACTGGCTGACCAACGCGATTGTTTTCCACCACACAAACGGTCAGGACTTGGTGACCGAGTCACGCCGCGACGGCCCCACAGAGACAGCATCCATACTGACTTATACTTACTAGTACCTGGCCCCGTGTACAAGGGGGACCGGACCAAGCGATCCAGCTCTCTGTAGCACGTGAGAGCGCGCCGAGGTGCTTGCAAGTGCTCGCAGCGCCTATATGGGCACTCTGGATGCTCCCGGATGATCCGCCGCACCCTACTTGCGCTACGGCGGGCTCTGTAGCAAATCCAATTTTGCTTGAGAGCATGCAGAGAGCAGGGGAACAGATTGTATCAGGAGTGCAAGAGGCACCAAGGCTTGTAGATGGTGGAAAATGTGTGTGAATATGCAGGTGGCTGTGTAGTCTGCCCTGGGCACAGAGGAAGGCTCAGAAAAGGCTGCAAAGGTGCAGATGGGCTGCAGGGGGTGGTAGCAGCATGTAGGCAGTCAAATCACAGTCATCACCACAGTGGAGAAGTCTAAGGGCAGCAATGGTATCCAGTAGCAGTGGATGTAGGTACAGAGGTGTCCAGGTCACGTGACCCCACTACACCGCCCATTCAGCCTAGAGATGTTGTGCAAGCATACCCGCATGCCCACATCACGGGTAAGTCAATGGCATCAGCTGATGAATGCATTGACTTACCCTTGATGCAGGCGTGCAGGTATGCTCGCATGACATACCTAATTGAGCCTTTGCTGATTTTGACCTGGACATTATTCAGCTACAATTACAATACTTTTTTCAGATCTTACCCTGAAAGGAATATACAAAGGTGCATATTCCTCTAGTGCTGACTTGACCCATGGATCTTCAAACTTATTACTTGACAGGATGTTGACACAGATTCTGAAGGACCTTTTGGTGTATTTGTAGTGCTTTCAACTCAGCAGACTTTGTTTTTCCACAATCAATGATACTGCCTCGTATATAGCCATCCTCAAATCCTCAAGCCCCAGCAGAGTGCCACCTGTGGCCTCAAACACTAGGTGCTCCAAGTTATCTAGCTTGCAGGGCTAGCCGTTAGAATCCAGGAAATATAGATTGCCAGCCTGCATGTGGTAGGAACCTGGAAGAACGTTGGAACTGGATTTGTTGTAATATAAGCGTATTGGAGGGGGAGTTACCATCTGGGAGCTCACTGCCATACTTGTCTTGTTTGACCTTTTCTCTTTTCTTCTTGGTGGATGCTGCCTTGGGGTTCACAGTGACTAGTAAGAGGGGGGGAACATTGCTATCAGGTAAAGCCCTAGGGCTTGGGGAACCTGCTTAAGGCAGGTGCTTGCCTTGCAGTCTTGTGGAACCAAGATGCAGAAAAAGTACTCAGCTAGACCAATATAGAATGTAGATAGCTGCTGGCTGATGCCATCAAGATCACCACCATGTGCCCTACATCAGAGAGCATCAATCATTCAACAACAGTCACAGGCAGCACCCACTCTGTGTCATGACCCACCCCGGTATTTCTCGTGGCTTGTACGTTTTCTCGTGGCCCATGACCTGAGTCACTTCTTTAGGCTGTATTTTCCTTTTGTCTGATGAGCGCTGCGCGCTCATCAGACGCTGCCTCGTTTTGTATGACTTGCCACATGCCTTATGCTGTGCGAGTCTGACTCGATGTACGCTCTTGTTGTGTTTGGGCTGTACGCCCTGTGTCTATATATTCGAGCCTGAGCAAGCCTGGTTTACCCAGCTTGCTCTACACTCGTCAATTACCCTTTTCTATTAGGCTCTTCAGCCTCTAGCGTCCTCTGCAACTCACCTAAGACAACTGTCTCGTCGCCGTCGCCAGTCTCTTCGCTTAAACTCGCTCGTCTACTCACTCGTCTTTGCCACTCGATACATCCGCCGTCGCCAGCCTCCTACATTCTAGCAACGTCATTGAAGAGGTTGTGCGTCAGCAAAACGTGTGATTCCATGGTTTGCTCCGAAGGCTCAGGTTCTCAAATGAGCCTCCGGAGCACCAGGGAGCACGTGCTCCGGAGGCTCATTTGAGAACTTGAGCCTTCGGAGCGCTGGGGAGCACGTGGCTTTGCTCCGGAGCGCTCTGGAGCACCCCGGAGCAAATCCAGAATTTGCTGAGTGACACTTTGCTACTTCAGATATTCTCTACAGCAAAATGCCCAACTTCAATATCTCTGATTTTATAACTAAAGTAGGTGTATCCTTCTTGCACTATGATCTCTGCTGACATATAACACTGTTGTTTGACTCTTAAAATCAGTAAGAGCAAGATGTCAAGGCCTGACACACAAGATCTTTTGGTTGCAATCCAATCAGATACCAACATGTTGGTTGCACTGAATAACTTACAGAAATTTCACTAAGGAAGGGCTTGAATGCACAAGGCTACTGCTGAGATTTGTAGCCTGGCTTGTGGACTCTATATGCTTGTGCAGGTATGTGATAATATTGGTTTTCTGTTACCTTTGTCAGCAAAATGTGTTTTCCCACTGTTTGCTCCGAAGGCTCAAGTTCTCAACGAAGCCTCCAGAGCACCGGGGAGCACGTGCTCCGGAGGCTCATTTGAGAACTTGAGCCTTCGGAGCACGTGGCTTTGCTCTGGAGCGCTCCGGAGCAAAATCAGAATTTGCTGAGTTGCTGATAGAAACGCAGGAGAAGAGCACTAGTACAGAGGCTGCGACCAGATTTACTGGATATGTAGCTGCAACATCTAGTGCAATTCCATTTGTGTCCAGGCATCTTGAACTGAACCCAGGTTTCTGCTCAAAGGATATTCAAGTTCAAGAAAACATCAGGGTGAGAGTAGAAACATGTCCATTGTTGTCAAAAGTTAATTCATGGTGATTTCAAACTATCCCAGTTCACCTTGCAATCATCAGGCTTTCATTACAATATTCCTCAGCATAGTTGCATGGAGCAGATACTGTGGTTTGCACTGTTTGACCTGTCTCAACAGCTTTGTAGAGGATTGCATTCACCAATATTGGGCTTAGATTGCTGCCTAGCTTTTGTGGTTGATCTCTCCCCAATAGGGGTGTCGTGCGAGCATTCCTGCATTCCTGCATCAAGGAGAACTGAATGGGAATTGTCAGGCCTAATAGCCTGACACCATTCAGTGGCCCTTGATGCAGGTGTGCGGGAATGCTCGCACAACATCCTTATGAATGTTCCTAACCAGACTCAAAAAATGTTAGAAATGTGTGTATATATGGGTCTAATTAAGTCAACTAGTAATGCCATATATGGTTAGTCAGCTCCATGAGCACTCATGAGCACACAAGAGCACAAAAGGTCTTGCTCATGAGACACCAGGAGTGCCAACAGGGCATCTCATGAGCACCCAGTGTGGTGCTAATGAGTGCTCCCTGCAATAGTGAGCAACCATGAGAACCAAGGGTTCTCATGAGTGGTCAAGAAGAAAAAAACTGTTGTGCTGATGTCAAGCATAACATGAGATTAAACAGTTTTGTTACACTAACACAAAAGTTATATTTCACTCATTGCATATTATGTCACTTATAAAGCACCCTGGATCAAAACCTGCTCTGGTCAGGTTTTTTCAAGACATGTAATCAAAAATGCTGAAGTGGTGGAAATAACCTATATTTGCTTCTACAGATACATTTAGATACATTGGGAGTAAACAAGTGCTCTTGCCTGGAGAGCTCATGATTTAAACAAAAGAAGTCGGCCCGAACCCGGGATTGAACCGGGGACCTCGCCCAATTTGAAATTCAGGTTCTTGATTCGTAAGAACCGTTGAACTCCCTAAGGGCGAATCATACCACTAGACCATCCGGGCTTGCTTCGTGAGCCCATATGAACTCTATATTGACCTGCGTGTTTGTTCCGGCCAAATACGGCTTGTTGTCATACTCTTGAGCGAATCCTAGAGGCATAGTCTTTACGTTGGACTGGTGAACAAAGTCACATTAAATTCTTGTGAGCCTTGGTGAATGAGCTAGTAGATGCGAGGAAACAGTTCGACGCTGAGATTTTCTGCCTCGATCTAAAATTGACCTCGACGTCTGACGTGCGACTGCGAGTATCCAACTTCGTATAAGCACCGTCGTCCGTCTGGTATCACGAGGTGTAGGCACAATATGCATTTTCTCGAGTGCTGAGCCTGCAGTCCCGGAGTCCAACCTCCACCTAGCAGTTTCAGAACTGCCCCATTCAAATGACCGAATATATTAGGGAATTAAAAACTAAACTATATTACTGTACACTATGTCAAAGAATCCGACTCTCGGCGCACGCCCTACTCCTTCTTCCCAAAAAACGAAGTCAGAGCCGACATCCCCTTCGTATTCGCCTTTTTCAGTTTGTCCACTCCACGCGTCCCTTGCGCACCCGCTTTCCTCTTTTCTGCTGCCCCCTTCCCCTTTTTTGATTTGCCGGCTTCGGCTGCCTCTGCGCGTGCTGTGGCTGTTGCGAGTTCTGCGCGAGCTTGTTCTACGCGAAGTGCTGCGTGAGCTGTATATGCAGATAGACTATACGAACGAGGTTCTTGTCGTGAGTAAAAGAGCTGGCTGTCGTGGTGAGACTTAGGACTCACTCGTAGGACTCCATCAGCTCGTTCATTAGCCCTTCTTCAACCCAGGTCCCGACGATCTCGCAAGCAGTTTTGATACGGGCGGCAGCACGTATAGCAAGGGCAGTCAGGTCCGTATCTGGCCCAAGCTCGGTAGTGGAAAGGCCGAGCCGCAGGTGTTGACGGTGGATGGTCGGGAAGACGGGGCCAGGAGTTGTGACTTCAGATACAGCGGCGACGACGAGGTCGGTTGTGGAAGTTTCAGGGTCGGTGGAAGGTTGTTCTAGGACGGGGTCGGAGGCTGGTTCTTGAGGTTTTTGCGCGAGGAGTACTCGTTCGACTCGTCGTCTGAGAAAGGCCAGCATGCGCTCGTCCGAAGGTCGGTGGACTGTGACGTCAGGTGAAATATCTATTCACGCAAACGAAGTTTATACCGCTACTATATTGAAAGATGAACGAACAAGACTCACCCTTGGTCTCACATAGTACCCTCAATGCTCTGCGAACGCAATCTAAACCCATGAACGTCCTTATATCCGATTGATCGTCGCTGGACTGTCGCGCAATAATCTCGTCTGTAAGGTCATCTGTCGGCTTATAAGGGTGTTGAGGCTCCTGGAAAACTGTTACATCGGCGGATTGCTGCAACAAGGAATAAACATACCTGAGAGAGCGCCTCTCGTAAGAGGGGAATAAGAAGAAAAGCAGGATCGACTGGTGTCATGAGGAGAATTTTACCGTCTGGCCACAGCGGTTAGAGACCATCTCTACACTCAAGCATATTTTTGCTCACCAGAAACAACGGATTGGCCAACAAACCACGAGCGGGTAGCATCTGGAGATACTGAATGAAGCTCGAGTATCGAATCACTGCAAGGCAGGAATAGAGCAGGAAGTCCTATGATGAGATTCGTTAGTACAGCGCAACAGCCCAAGTTTGGAAGAAACATACCGGTTCGGGGGTGCGGCAGTCGGAGAGGTTGCGGGCTGGCGGGTGGTTTGAACAGCGACTCTTGCGCTCCTATACGATTAAATATTTAGATCATATCAAACATACGAGTATCAACAACTACCTTTGGGGAGAACTGTGATATGGGTGGGCATAGTAGCGAAGAGGGGCGACGAGAAACACACGGTCACGTGTGGGCAGTGAACAAGTCACGTGTGTATCCACCAGAAATCTAGCCCAAGCAACGCCCAAGGGACAGATACGGAACATTCAAAATGTGATTGGCAGCGGCACGTTGAGACATGGCTTATGAACCATAGTCAGAGGATCCCATCTTGTCCGTAGATAGCCAGATGCATGATGTCTAGGTCGAGAGCGGTGATCTGTCAGCAGAAGAGAAGTCGCACTGGGAAGGAATTGGACGAGCTATTGGTGGCCCACGCGAGGCCCAGCAAAATGTGCTCTAGATGCAGCCGTTTGAATCCCCAGTTTGCCAGCCGTGGGGTTGTGCTCGGCGTTCTTGCTAAGGCAGTGGGGATGACGCCAGATCAGCAAGCACTGAATGTTCCACTGCCTTTAAGCCAAGCACAGACCAGACGGGAGCTGGATTCCTCGTCCTCAGCCGTCAAACGAGATCACTGCACGAGTTGCTGTGATGACAGACTCGAAGGTCCACCCTGGAAGCCGGATTACCAATGATTACCCAAGGTAAACACCCCTAAATGCCATTCCGGTCCAGTGCAGCTCACCTACGACCGCAGCCACTCACCACTGCCGCATCGCGCCCAGAGCAGTCCAAACACACTCTCTACTCCCGCACGACCCCCGCCCACCCCATTAGTACCCCGCAAACGGCTGTCTTCAACCATGTCTGAGGACATGCATGCCTCAACCTCGTCGCTGCCTGTTCGACGTGGTCCGCTGAGCGCGCCTGCTTCACCACTATGGAGACGGCGAAGACTTCTCAATCTTGGCACCCCCAGTACCGGCCATTCCCCAGAAGCAACATTCTCTCCAAATGACCCACCGCACAGTGCAACCAGCCCCGGCTTTCCGAGTTACGGAACTATGCCGCGAGGTTCAGCCGACCGGTTAGCTCAATCGTTTGCAGGTCTTGATACACCATTACTTGGCTTAGACCTACGCTCCTCTCGCCCGAAATCTTTCTTTGGTACCTTTGGGCGTCGTCAACCTACTGCGTACGACGGGCATGGCAATATTGATACTGTGCAAGAGGGCATGGAGGACGAGGGCGCCAGGATCAACGGTATTCGAGTTTGGTATAGCTCGTTTACGTCTATCGACTGGCTACATGACTCGGTGCGTGTCTTGTTCACAATTCATCAACCGACCAGCTGATCATTTTGTTTTGCTTGGCGCCCTGTAGATTAAAGATTCGGCCCGCACACTTCGCGTCCGTCGTCGGCGATCGGCGCGCGGCCGGCTGCTTAACGCTGCAGACCGCTCCATTGGCTGGATTATTGTCACAATCGTCGGCTTCCTGACCGCTGTCGTCGCTTTCCTTATCGTGCGTGCTGAGCAATGGCTTTTCGACATCAAGGAGGGCTACTGTTCCGAAGGCTGGTGGCGAGCACAGCGCTTCTGCTGCCCTCTCAGCATTGACAGCCAGAGCTTGAGGGTAACCAAGATGCCCGGCGAAATCGAGCTCTGCGATGCTTGGACAACCTGGGCTCAGGTCTTTGCTCCCACAGCCGACAGGAACGACTCGTGGTATGGAATCCAAGCCTGGACAATCGAGTACATCTCGTACATGGCTATCGCTGTATGTCGGCTTCATATTTCTCATGTCGTCTGCTAATATGTGCCCTAGCTTGCACTAGCACTTGCATCCGCAACCCTTACTATTCGCCTGACTGCTTCGACCTCCTTCATATCCAACAAAGATTCCGGCGTACTGAATCCTACTTTCAACCCAGCCACAAAAGACCAAGGCACTTCCACCCCGCCGCACCTTAATACGCAAGGAGCGCCTCGGAAGATTCTATACTTTGTAAGCAATGAAATCGTAGACTGGCCAAGTATGCAATCACTGACGAGTAAATCATCAATCATCTGCGTCCCACGTTGGTCGGACTGGCTTCGGTGTTGGTTCGCCCGGTACAATCCCGCAGGCTGCCGGAAGCGGTATCCCTGAGATCAAGACGATCCTGTCCGGCTTCGTCATGCACGGATACCTTGGCGGCCGAACATTGTTTACCAAGTCGGTTGGTTTGGCGTTGAGCGTCGCTAGTGGTTTATCGTTGGGTGCGTTTCAGTTCTTGCCTTGAGCCGTTATGGCTCTTTGACTCAGCGGGCCGAACGTACGACTGATTTGTGTTCAACCCTTAGGCAAGGAAGGACCTTTTGTTCACATTGCGAGCTGCATCGGAAACATCGTATCGCGTTACTTTTCCAAATACGAGACAAACGAGGGAAAGCGAAGAGAGATTCTCAGTGCTGCATGTGCAGGTAAGTCTTGAATATTTCTATCATTCATTACTGTGTCATTGACTTGAGGTGTTCGTTCCAGCTGGAGTAGCAGTTGCCTTTGGTGCACCCATTGGAGGCGTCCTTTTCTCGCTCGAAGAAGTCTCGTATTTCTTCCCACCTAAAGTGATGTGGCGCAGCTTTTTCTGTGCGATGGTCGCGGCCGCAACTCTGAAGTTCATGGATCCATTTGGCACTGGCAAGGTGCGATTGTTTCTGGAATATTGGCGGCATAAGCTCATTCGAAGTCATTTCATTTACAGATTGTATTGTTCCAAGTTACGTATGATAGAGACTGGCATTCGTATGAACTCGGAATTTTCTTAATTCTTGGAGTGTTCGGGGTATGTTTACTTCTCTTCTGGTTCGTTTGACTGGAAAAACAGCCACTAATTGCTACTTGGTTCAGGGTGTTTACGGCGCATACTTTTCCAAGTTGAATTACCGGTGGAGCCGACACGTGCGTGGCGGAACATGGATGAAGAGCCATCCTATCGCAGAGGTCGCGCTGGTGAGTGTTATCAGCCACTTGCTTGAGATAACAAACAGACTGACTGGGTGTTTTTTCTGTTCTTGCTACTTTGACCCTGCCTCCGTCGCGCTTGATATACCATCTAGGTCACGCTGCTCACTACCCTTCTATGCTTCCTCAACCCCTACACGCGCATGGGCGGCACAGAGCTTGTATACAATCTGTTGGCCGAATGCCAAGTTGGAGATTGGCACGAAGGGCTGTGCGTGTCGCCAGAGAGGTAAATAGCAACCTGGATTCATTTCGCAATCTGGCCTGACCCTATACTTGACTCCAGAGCCGCAGAAGTCGGGGACGTGA